ATTTAGGAAAAACACAGTAGAGAACCAAGGAAATCACAGTAGAACAGAGAAAAAAATACAGTCGAATAAATAAAGAAAACTATTATCGAAGAAATTCTAATTATTTGGAAAGTAATTACTTTCCAAATTTTCGCTGGCGTAATCAATGCGTAGCTGCGTAGGAGCATGAGCGAGATTTATCATCAACTGACCGCTGGCCGGTAGGTACCTGGGCGGGCGAGCGACAATACGTAAAAGCGGTGGCATGGTTTGATTGACAGAGGAGTGGGGAACGGTCAGACGTAGGGGAAAGGTTCAGGCTGAACCGTTCAGCACAGCGCAGCGTCAGTCACCGGGTGGGGAAGAGAGTCCGGGAGGGGACACTTCCCCTCGAGTGAAATAGAAAAAGGCAGAATCCTTCGAAGTTTATATTAATGATACGAGCGAGTATGGCAACTAGTTTTGCGTAACTGCGATATTCAGTCAGGACGTGCTTTTAAAGCTATTTCAAAATGTTGTTTGATCAGGCTTTGTGTTGCAAAGCCTTTTGAATTACTGCTTAACGTGATGCTCGGAAATTCTGAAAACAATGTCTTAAAATCAAGAAACGATCGATTGATCGATCGCAAGTCAAATCGCTCTCCGAAGTGCTGAGGAAGCAACTTAAGAAATGTCTTAAAATCCAGAAATTATTGTCAATTAATCGATGGACTGCCGCATCGTTATCTCCAAGGGGCTGAAAAATGGAATTTCCAATCTGCGAAAATTGCAACTGGACAGAGAGAGACAAATGGAGTTTCATCGACTTACCTATAATGATTCAAGTCTTGTAAAATGGAGGTTAGCGTAATTGTGGCTTGGGTATTATACAATTGGAGTGCGATTGCTTTGAGTGAACCAGCTAAGAGGAAGGCGACGGCTGGTCTGTCCGTCGTGAACACTAAATCCAGTTCGTCCGGCTTTGAACCCAGCGTACAGACGAACCCGGACACAGCCTGAAACAATAAGCGAAAAAAAAAGTTACAAATGCATGCCACGGGCAGGTACAAAATTTAAATAACCCCCAGTTGGTAGAATTGAGAGAAAAATAGCCGGTAAAGTTAAAAAAAACCTATCTCAGACTGCAACACTGTTGGTTTATCCTTACATTTTACCTTTAATAGCTCACTCTCCTGTGACGCAAATAGCAAAACATTTGTTATGATATTTTGCATAAAAATACAAGGTTTATAGTAGTCCGAAAGAAAAGTAAAGCAAATAATCATTGCGAACAAAAGAACAAAAAAACCTATCCAGGAGAACTGGTGTGATGTCACGTCTATAACGGTCTATGCAATCGGTAAACAACGGAGCAGAATCGAGACAAAATCAACAAATATCGCCAAACAATAACAGTGCAGAGCAAACATATCGGACCCAGTCAGTTTCATGCGGGGATGTCGATTTCGCCATCGAAGTTAGCTGTATTTCCATTTGCACTCATAGACAATCTTAAGAGATTGCTTGAATGATTGGCAACGCTGGTTTCATCGACAGACGGGCCACCACTGCGCTTTTTGTGTTGGCGCGTCGGCGATGGAATAACCGCAAGCAGGGATCTTATGCATCGTCGGCCGGGGAAAGTAATCCCTCTTTCCCTGAGAATTTTTCGCGAGTTTTCCACCCGTTGATAGGAATAAGTATAGTTCATTCATACATAGATTAAAATACTCCCATATCAAAACGCCGGAATAATTCTTTCCTGATAACTGCACATAACGAGAAAAACATTTTCTGTTATGTGTACCGCGGTCCGGTATTCTATATCGAACTGGACCGGACGGTTCATGCAACCGCATTTTCGATTGAAGTAATCGTATTTTCGGATCACAGGATAGAACCCTTGCTACAGTTTGGCAAAAGCTATCGAACTATTTTGACGGTGCAGTTTAAATCTATAAACCTTTCAGGGTTGCATAAAATGTGAATATGGTTACCAGCAGTGGTGTGGTGTGCTTCTGGGTGATCTACCATTTAAACCAATCGAAGAGAATCGATAAACAGAATGTTCGAGATGAACACTTGAATAATCGATTATCATAGCTTCAAATGGGGAAACATCAAAAATCAATCATACACGCTTCAAAACTGGTAGCCAGATTTGAAAGTGAGGTACATGAACCATATTTTTATGTCCATCATCCTCTAAATTAGTATGCTCATGATCTATCCATGAAAAATTCAGCGTATTAATTTTATACTCAGGAATTACTTCAAAGGCCGATTTGGTTGGGTGGATTTTGGTTGTTCATCGGTTTGCGTAAATGAAGAGTAGATATTCTAGACAGGTTGCGAAAGGCCCAGGATGTTCTAATTATATTACATATATCTTCACTGGTATGTTCTTCCGAGATAAACCTTTTATCTGTTTGAATCTATCGGAATCTATCTCAATACCAAGAGACTCAACAGAGTTTTCTAATCAAATACTATTTGAGTCTCTTAAAATAAAACAGAAATCGAAGGAAGTATTGTAAGAACCAGCTGAGTAGATTATTGCTTGTTTCTTACTTTGATTTATTGTTAGATCATAAGCTTTAACCCAAGATTTTACTACCTTTGAAATATGAACAGGTGCTGCAAAAGTAACTTCGGGTATTTAATATTCTCTCGCCGTCCATGATCTAAAATAGATTACGCTCAACACGTAACGACATCGGGCGAAAATTGCGGTTCAGCCCGACAAAAACCTCCATACTTCAGAGGCCATTAGTGCGGGCCATGAGAAAATACCTTATCTATTGAGTAGTCAAATACCCTGGATAAAATACGGATATTCACGTGAAATATGGTGCGCGAAAGTTAATGCGATTCTCACTTACGTATTAATAGCTAAATCCACAAAGTCACAAAAAACATGCATAAACAGCTCTATTAGAGTTTCGTCGAGAGAGCTCAAATATTAAGGCCGGGAGTAGTAAAACAAGAGCTTCGTATAATGCGAGAAACGCCCTGAAAATTCTGCGCGTTTGAAATTTGAGAATACCATCTCTACAGCGCCGCAGAGTGGAGTAAGAAGGAAATATGGTTTTTTACGCGATGGCAAAATTAATATTCAGTGGATCCCCATAATTCCTGTTCATCAAAAGTTACGATACAGTTTTATCGAAAAAGCCCTTGTGCTGAGTTATAGCGGCTAAGCATGTCAGGAATTCCTAATAAAAACGCGGTACGAACCGACACCCTCCCGCCTCTTCACTCCTCCCCGCATTAATTCGTTGATATTCCTCATTTTCTTTTGCTCTGCGTGAAATTAACTATTCGTTGCTTTGAAGATAAATTACCGACAGAGTATCTGCCACCAGGCAGTGTAATAATGTTTCCGATCGTAAATTTCCCTGCATAAAATACACTTCGGCTCTAATGGGTGCAACTTCAGGGAGGAATCGACTTATGCGGTCATGAAGTAAAAGTTCAAGCGCTATAAGCATTGAAATTTTTGTACAACAGTGAGTTTAACGAGAATATGCTTTGTACAATCAGTCCGGGCCTCCTCATAAGTCAATAGTGTGAAAAGTTTAAAGGGAACTTTGAAATATCCTCTCTTTTCTAATCAAATTATTTTTAGGACGCTCGATGAACGAGATGAGGAAGGAGAGTAATACGCGGTCCAAAGTTCGAATTCCAAAGAAGGAATTAAAATTAAGCGTAAGGAGAAAGTCATTGAGAATATTGTTCAGCGGGAAATTTTCCTTTGAAACATTGTTTTGTTATTCTATAAAAATTTTTGGTCATTAACTGCCAACGGGCGATTTAGACGATTTCGTTGGCCGCGAAGCAGCCTTCAAAGGCCCGCGTAGTGGCCAGGGGGCGGACCCCCTAGTTCACATAATTTGACAAGAAAAGGTTCTATACAATATTACTGTACCAGTGAGTGCCATGAATGGTTTTTTTGAGCAAGCCCGTGACGGGGTATTTTTTTCAGGGAGACTGTGATTGACACGGATAAGGAACTTTTCGGCATATAGAAATCAGACTTTCAACATGCGTTTAAAATAAAGTTGAATGCTTCATTTTAACTCGAAATGTCATTTTAGACTCGAAACACAAATGTATGAAAATTAATCATCATTTTGCATTTAACGAACGCAACGCAAACAGCACTCAAAGTCCACGCATCAACAGCACTCTCCGCAGGCCGCAGCCGGACCAATATAAAACGCCTTCAATTGCGTGTGATACTGTGCAACACACCAAAGTTGATATAGTTGTATTCTTGGGTTCGAACCTAACTCAAGTGAATTGCTCTACCTAATAAGGCATTTCCGCCTATAAAATGCTGTATTTCCGGGTTACCTCGCATATTTAATGCCCATTATTGCCCATCCCAAAAATTTAAGGTTTCAATAGATTTAGAAAGGAAGAGTTGTCATTATTAATTTGGTCAACGAAAGAAGCGCATCCAAGGTAAAACCTGTTCTTGAAACTTTCATAGTTTTTGAGCGCGCCCGTTTATGTGCCGTGTGATATTTTTTGGACAGGAAACTCGATTTTCAGTCAAATTTTCAAATTACAAAATCCAAGATGGCGGAGGTGGCTTAAATTGCTACTCGGCTCCTCTTCCATCACTGTTTGTGAAACTCGTAATCGGGAGGTACTTTTTGGCAGGAAACTCGAATTTTTACTTACATTGGAAAATTCCACAATTCTAGATGACGGACGTAGCCTAAAGTGCAAGATTGGCTATTTCAACAGTATCTGCCCTTGCAATCAAGATAAGTATTTACTTTCTGTTAATTTTCAACATCAATTTACCATCAGTTATAGTTAAAGACCTTCATATCGGTGCGCTCTTCAACACTGTGTTGAAGCTGCTTTTTTTGTTTTTGTTGTATTTTTTTTCCCTACATTTCTTAATTTAAACATTTAAGACAAACATAGTTTTGAAAGTCTCAAATTTCGCCCTCTCAACAAATGTATCTCAAAAAGCCCATTCTCTCCCTAAGAACGCACGCCACGTGAATAATGCACCAACTGGTTACTTCTCATCAATTTCCAAAAAACATGCACGAATAAAAATAAAGATGATGGGAGTATTGGGCTCTTTAGTTGTAAAAGCAAGTGCTAGATTCCTGATGGTGTTAACCATGTGTCTAGTAGATCTATACTAGACGTATATGGTTAATGGATTAACATCACTGGGTATCAAACGCTAGCAACTAAATTTCTTGGACACATACACATTGGATCTAGAGTCCAGACTCTCAAAAACATCGACAAGAAAAAGTACTCTTAATTCAACCAGAATCTAGCTTAAATCAAGAACCAAGCCTCTTAATATGAGCGGATTTCGTTTTGATTCAACCAAAAATCCGATTGAATCAAGAGTATTTTTTCTTGTCAATGTTTTCATGAGTCTGGACTCCAGATCCAATGTGTTTTTTTTCCAGTACAGAAATGGCCATACTCTGTCTATAAAGGTACTCTAGTCTAGTGGTCCATTATTTTTGTCATCTTTTTTCTGTCTTTTCTTTCTTCTTTCCATTTGCTTCTTGGTCGTGACGGACGGAGTAGGAAATGGAATTTACCTGGGTTGAGGGAGAGTTGTGAGTTCTCAATTGACCTTGCACCACGTCGTGGACCCCGTCGAGGGTGATGAGGAAGCTCTGGAGATTGCTGCCGAGGGAGCGGAGACCTCTCTGGGTGTGCACCTCGCAGCCGGATATGAGGCGCTCGCCGAGCGCGCCCAGCACCGTCCGCACATCACCTGCACACAACAAAACACAATGTCCCGGTTACTAATACATCACTTTTCAATTTCACTCCCTCCGCCGCACAGTGCGGCCCTCTGTGGACGAAAATAAAAAATTCACAATGCGACATCTGAATATTTTTTTTCGGAATTTGTACGCCGTATGAACCTCCAGGTGTTGCCAAATTTCCTTTGATAAAAAAACGAATTTCCTTGTAAATTTATGAATATTATCTTTCCAATTTTCCGGATACTTTTGCTAGCAATTTCATCTAAAGTTCCTGAAATTTTGAAGGAAAAATATTTATAACTTTCCTCAAAAATGAACATTTTATTGAAGGAACTTTGGCAACTCTCTATTGTTCATACGACGTTTTACCTTAGCACGGCAGTATGATGGCTCATTTTCAAAGTTTCCGCTCAAAACTACCTCGAATGTGGGTACAAAGTGGGCAGGAAATAGGTCGGGAATCGCTGGTCCGTGAGAAATACACGGGAAAAAGACGTCAACTTCAAATGGAGATTTCTCGCTTGAAACGCAAAATGCTCTGGGTGGTTGACACTTGCTTAATCCTCTGATATCCAACTTCAATTCTACGAAAAAGATCTTGCGACTTTTTGCGACTATCAGAGATATTTGAAGTTAAAGTTTGGGTGTTTCACGATGTTTTTACATCGTTAACACAGGGCTAATTCGAGGTTGCCAACTTCGAATGAACTCTTCTTGAAAAATACGCAAAAAAAACCTGAGGTATAACATTTTCTTATTCCTCGAGTGTTTTACTTTGATAGTGCCAAAGGGTTTTCCTATGTCGGTGCTATTATCTTCATTATTTAAAGTTAAGTTTCTTTCGCCGATTTTTGTCCGCATCGTCCATAAGAGTGCCGCACTGTGCGCCGTCTCCGATGCGACGAGTAACTGCACTATCGACTGATGAAATTTTCATCTCGTCTCTGTCGGGCCATCGGAGACAGCGCCCGCTGTCAGTTTCTCCGTTTCGAGCGTGGGCCATCGATACTCCCGTGTCAACGAACAGAGCCGAGAGTGCAAAAATGAATGTATGAGAAAATTGACTCGGAAGCGTCCGAGAAGGACATTTCATTCTATTAGAAATCCGGAATACGTTTTACTTCGGAGCCCCCTCTGCTCCCGAACAACCCGAGTGGTGTGCTAAAAAAGTGAGATCCGCTCTTTAGGAGCTAAGTGTGATCTACGAAGTGAGTTGAACCGATTACTTTCCAAGACACGTGAGCGGCAAAATTGCGAATGCGAGAAAAACAAGAAAACCCGCTGTATTCGCTTCGTTGACATTCTTCGAATTCTGAAAAAACGTGTGTTCTTTTAGAAGGCTATTTTGAAATTAGACATGATTAATGGGACGTATTTCTGCCAAACGGAACTATGCGCATTACGACGTGAGTCCTGTTATGCATATATCCTCATGGGTCTTAAGGCTCATGTCGTAATCCACATAGTTCCGTTTGGCAGAAATACGTCCAATTGGACGTATTTCTATCAAACGGAACTATTTGCATTATGACGTGAGCCTTGTTATGCACATATGCTTATGGGTCTCAGGGCTCATGTCTTAATGCACATAGTTCCGTTTGACAGAAATACGTCCAATTATACTTGAGAAAACGAGAAAATAATAGGTTCGGTTGATTTCGCCTTGCAAGCGCAAAGTTCAATACGCAAAAAGTGTGGATTTTAATTCGCACTTAAAGCACTCCGGCAGGGTGATTATTGAAATCGAAATGGCAATCGACAAAGCAATAAGACAAGGATAAAATGGGGTAATCCTATTAGTGAGAGCGGATGATTGCAATGGACAAATGAGGTAAGTTATAAAGTAACTAACGTCAACTCATGAGAAATCTAATTATTAGACCGTCATTTTCCTCTCAGTTTAAAACAAATTCTCATTTAACCAATAGGATCGCTTAATTTTCCCATTGCCTCCTTTGTCCATAAATTTCAACGATCACCTTGCTAGAGTAAAAGTCACCCCGGATTTCACTCAAAGGTTTTTGACAGTATATTGAACGAAACATTCCTTCCATGAAATTGTTGACAATGTACCAAAAAACTCTTAAAAATTGCTCACATAATTGATAATCGACGAATTTGATCTCCACTTGCACGAAAAAGGCTCTTATTTTGGATGGATTTGACCATTTTGCTTTCAATCGACATGACAATGACATTTTTATCAACAGTTAATAAAAAGTGGTGAACTATGATCAAACATTGGTCAACAGTGATCAAAATGGATTGACTAGGATTATTATCTGTTCAAAAGTGATTCAACTTTAATTGAGATTGATCAAGCCTTGATCTAATATGATCAAAATTCGATCAGCAATTACAAGTTATCTACCGTGATAAACTTTTCAGATGTTCGCGAAAAAGTCCTTACGTTTTTTGGACTTTATACAGGAGTACAGACGTATTTAAGCGTACGCTTTCAACGGCATACCACAACAATTCCCTACTAACCAAGGCGATCTGAGTAATTTCAGAAGAAAATTTTCAGGCCAGGTAATTGACAGACAAATTCAGCGTGGTCGAAATAATTTGAACAAAATAGTAAGTGCAGTCTAGGTAAAATAAAAAAACCATTGTGCATCTGCCAGTCATTTATACACAAATCAGTTTGCGAGCAGAAATGTATCGATTTTTTATTAAATCAAAACACTTGAAAGTTTTTAACAGAACGGATGCACTTCAAATGATTTCAATTAGCTGATTCCGCGAATTCGAATCAACGAGGGCAATAAAAGGCGTGCTCGCGCGTACTATGTATAGCGCCTTCAATTTCGGGGAAATACTTCAAACGCTACACCATTACACGTGGGTTCCGGTGTGTAAATTGCCTAAATTACTCCTGGCGGAAAGTACACCGCGTTTTAAGGAGTACACCAGTGCGAGGCGTGAATGATCGATTATCGATACTTCTTCATTCAAAGTTATGGTAAAAAATCGATTATTAAGGTGTTCGTTCGAACACCCTGTTTATCGATCGTTTTCTATAGGTTTAAATAGCAGATCAATCGATAGGTCGCTAAGCACGCCACACGCCACTGGTGTACACCGTCCAGCGTCCACCTGAAATCCTCGAATCGAGTGTTCAAGCTTATTCTGCACCCTTGCCTCCGTAACGACCCTTACGATTGTCTCTTCCTAGTAAATTCGTTCTTTTTTAGCTCAAAACAGACCCTTGCAACGAGCGAAAAATTGCGGGCGGTGGAGGAGCAAGGCGATGACGAGGGCGTGTTGGTGTGTTGAGCACGCGAGAAAAACGCCCGGCGCACGGTGGATCGAGTCAATTGGAGAGTTTGGACATGCCTTTTGGGGCTTGAACTGCAAACTTTGATGTTTTTTTTTTTCGTCAAATTTTAAATTTTAAGGGGTGTTTCTCGTAGCAAATTTGACGAGAAAACCAATAAAACTACTTTGAAAACATTTTGAGAAAGAATGTATTTATTCGAATCAAATGATTTGTTATGACCGTCATTCATAATGAATGACGGTCATAACAAATCATTTGATTCGTATAGACACAGAGGCGTGAACGTGCTGAGCAAAATGTCCGTAATGGACTGCTCAAATTTCCTCCGTATGGAGGCCTTCGGGTTGGTTTTTTAGTCGCGTTCGCGGCAGCCGCCAGAAGTAAAACTTAGGAGTTGTTGGGTGGCTAACGGTAGAGGGCGTGAGCCGCGCTGCTAGTGTGGTTCCCGCCGGAGTTTGGCATTCTGATTTGCACGGCATCTCAGAGTGTTCGGGCTTCAAATCGGGACTGGCTGTCTATGCACACCTGACGATCGCTAACAAGCGTGAAACCGGTAGTGGCGCTGACAACAGGCCTGATTTCTTTACCCACATCCAACTCTCCTCAATTGAGGTTCTCGCTAGTATGGGAAAATCCATACGAAAAAACAATAATGACCGATACCTCTTAAAAAACTGCATTTCATAATGTATTTATTGTTTGAAAAAGTGGTTTTTTAGACCCTTAGGTTAAGAACTAGTGTTAATAAAAGTTAAAAATAGTGTAATTGACACCCCAGTAAGGGGTGATTGTACAATTTTAAGTTAATAAAAAAAAAATCGTCAAATTTTAAATTTTAAAGGGTGTTTCTCGTAGCAAATTTGACGAGAAACCCAACTAAACCACTTTTAAAACATCAAAATTTCATATTCATATAGATATACGCATCTAAAGTTTTTAAATCATGTCCGACCTCTCTCATCGACTCGATCCATTGTGCGGCGCATCGTGCAAGTGAGCGGTTCGCAGGGAGACGTTCCCCCATTTTCGCCGGGATTTGAGCCGGGGTTAAACGGCGGGACGGGGCTTATTTAGCAAATTAAAGACTCGTTTATTAATTAGAGTTTTAATTTATATGGCTCGCCGATTCGGCGGACAAAGGCGCCGGGTGCCGCGCCGGGACAAAGGAGCGGCCACCCCGGCTCGAACACGATCTCGCGCGGCTAAGAGGATTAAAAACCCGGACCCCCGCGTTCGCTCAGAAATTACCTGCTTCCAATCCGCTGGATAAGCGAGCAACCGTTAAAAAAAAATGAAAAAAAGTCATCGTGTTAAGGAAAAACGGCGTATAAACGTTAGCTCAACTTTTGTTTTCACGTTATGAGCAGCCGAAAACCGAGAAAACTTGTAAACGTTTTACATACATTAAGCCGCTTTTACAGCGCGGCCTCGCGCTCTGCGACGCCCAATCGCCATTGCCCCCTATCGTCCCAGAGGCCATCAGGTAGTAAACGTTAGATCACGTACATAGAATGAGTATGGACAACGCGAATTATGTAGCTCTCAGGGTGAATGCCCACATAAAGTTGAAACTGAGAAAAAGAGGTTTGAAGTTTTATTTCTCCATATGGCTCAACGTAGAAAAGAAATTTTAACCTTTTTAACATAGATTATTTTTTTTTCGACTTTCAGTTTTTGGCAGAGGAATATATACGACTAATGGAACTCAAAGACATTCTAAAC